TCTGGTACCGCTGCCGCCGCCCCAGACACATGTCCGCTGGCATGTGTGCCTTGCTCTGGGCCCTGTCCCTGCTGCTGACCATGTTGGAAGGGAACTACTGTGGCTTCCTGAATTGGAATGTGCATGGTGGTTGGTGCCGAGTGTGGGATTTCATCACTGTGTCATGGCTGATTTTGTTATTTGTGTTTCTCACTGGGTCCAGCCTGGCCCTGATGACCAGACTGCTGTGTGGCTCCCATCGGGTGCCGCCCACCAGGCTCTACGTGACCATCATGCTCACAATGCTGGTCTTCCTCCTCTGTGGCCTACCCTTCGGCATCCACTGGTTCCTCTTATTCTGGTTTGATTTCTTGCCTCATCATGGCAAGTTTGTAGTACTCCTGTCCTGTGTCAACAGCTGTGCCAACCCCATCATTTACTTCTTCGTTGGCTCCTTCAGGCAGCGATGGTGGAAACAGAGACACACCCTGAGGCTGGTTCTCCAGAGGGCTCTGCAGGACACTCCTGAGGTGGATGAACCTGGAGAAAGCCTTCCTAGGGAAACCCTGGACATGTCGGGAAGCAGTCTGGGGCAGGGATGAGAGCCTCTGTCCTGATCAGTCTGAAGTAACTTTGAGACTCACTGCTGCCCTGCCAGGCTTGGAAAGTATCTAGTCTTCTCTCAGCCTCAGCCTCAGAATGTGTCAGTGATTCCCCAATCTCTTCAAATAGGTTGTTTTTAACCTGGCTGTTCTAGTTTTTCTCAGAGAAAGCATTAGTCCCAACATTATACCTCTCCATCGTCCTTGACATTACCAATAAATTTCTCATGTAATCTTCTGAATTTATTCTTTACAATTTTCATTGCAACAGAAAGAATTCCTCTCTGAATCAGACAAATCCAGGACTGAAGTCCTGGTTCTGCAGCTCTCCTCTCCAAGCCTCCATTAATTCATTGTAAAATGTGGTGAACTCATCTGCTCATAGAATCATAGTGGGGAATAAATTAGAAAACAGATGAAAAGGACTCAGCCAGGTGTCAAATATGACTAATTATTTCATAAACATCAGTGGTTAATACATTTGAAGCCTCTAATATATTATTGACTTCTGAGGTAATATTTAATAAGTTAAAAAAAAAGAATCCCTGTCCAAAACCATAAATAGTCATTCAGAAATTGTTCTACCTGATTGGATAGAAAAAAAAGATTTGCTGTGTTTTTCTCAGACTATCGGCCCTTTAGATTTATGGTAATTGCTGTGGTTGAGGGCATTCTACAAGGTAAAAGCTTAAGTAAATGAGTTGGCCTGCCTCTAATCTCATTGGGTTTTCTGGGTTTAGGGAAAATGATATCCTTAGATAAGCACAGTCCAGGAAATTGGGCCTGTGAAAGGCCCTCTGGTAGCATTTGTCCACAGCATCTTTTCTACCTGGATCACTGCCTGGCAAAGTATAGGCACACAGTAGAATTGGGTAAACTCAGAAAAGAGTGAATAAGTTTCTCACATTGTTTCAAATGCTTCATAGTTAATTTTCTAAGGAAATGCTATGTAACTCAATTTGGCTGCTGCATGGGCACATGAAAGGTATCATGGGAGCTAAAGCTGAAAACACTGGTTGTCCCACATCATGTGAAAGAAATCTAGCTATCAGATGTCGTGAGGAGAGGGAGAGGTGACAAGTAGTTCATGTGATGTTCTAAATTCTTTATCTGTTAAAAGGGAACACAGTATACACAGTTGTTGATATCGATAAGTCACAACAAGAAATGAGGTTTCATTTCACAAAGCTATAAAATAAGTTGTAAAGGAGATAAAATAGAAACTGTAACATCGGTTGCTATTGGTGATTGAGTTTACATTTTTATTTTGTATACTCTTGTGTCCTCTGAAATAAACTCAGGTGCATTCATTACTCCTGGGAGTAAATGGAAATAGATCAGATGATCCAGGCTATGCAAAACCCTGAATGCCAAGCAAACTATTATTTAGCTATGCAAGCTGACATTGCCTGTTGTGTGGGCTTCCTGCACAAACCCACAGTGGGCAGTGACAGGCTCCAGTTCCAACATTCCTCACTGGAGGGGGACCACATGGGGTAAGATGGAGCGAGGACAGATAAGTCATTGCACTCAGGGCAAATGAGAAGCATCTCATAAGACCCTTGTCTCACATCTGCAGAATCTCATTTGCCGTGCCCCTTCAGCAGGAAGTCACGGGGGCTGCCCAGCATCTTGATAAGCCTCTCTTGGTCATCAGTTTCTTCTGCTGCTCCTGCAGACACCTCATATCCAGGGGTAGGAGAGCATTCTCTGGTGTTCTGCGCTCTGTTGAAAGCTCCTCTTTTTCTACTCACCACCTTCAACTAGAAGATGGTGCTCAGGTAAGAGTTGGCTCAGAACTACCTTCTCTCAAAGGCAATTTTGTTTTCTCCCTCTTAGTCCACATGGTCACGACAGCAACTTGGGTGGAGCATGTAAGTAGCCATGGGTACCCATGAAGGAGAGTCCAGAGACATGAAGCTCTTTCAGGGAAGCTTTGGGTGCTGGTAGCTTAAGCTGTGAGGGACCCAGGTTCTTTCTGCTTCACAGACATTTTTTTCAAACCTGAATTGTTGTTAATAACCTCAGCTTGCAGACATTAGCTTCCTGTTCCATGGATTTGTTTGTTTGTTTGTTTGTTTGTTTGTTATGTTTGTATCTTTCTTGTTCCAGCATAAAACACGGAGCACAAACTAATGAGTAATTTAAGAGAGTTTAATAAAGGGACTATGTACAAAGGGGTGAATAGGAGTATGTGAAATTGATGAAGATGGAGAGCCCCTAAAGATAAGTCATAATAGGGACCTACTGCTGAAGGGTAAAGGGAAAGATAAGTTACCAGAACACAGCTCGGGCTATGGCTGTAGCGGTTGTTGTCATTTTGACCATAAGAAAGGCAACCAGACAGGGGCTATGTCCTTAGGTAGAGTAACACCACCATGGCCAGCTCACAGCCTGACATTAGAGAGCCAGGGAGTTTAAACCTGCCCTCCTCCTGCCCTCCAATGACCTGCCAGTGTCTCCTTCCTGAGAGCAATCAGGAGAATGAGGGAAAGGGGTCTACTGGTGAGGAAAGGGGACCTGTCTCCCAGGAGGAAGAGGAGGGTAGAGAAGCTGGAAATTCGATTTGATGTCAAATGAAGAAACCCATCTCTTCTTATCGTCTCCCAATAGTTGGTTTTCCTGGTCTCTCTCTCTCTCTCTCTCTCTCTCTCTCTCTCTGTTTGAGATCAATAAGATTAATTTCTCAGTGTATCTCCTCAGTTTGACTCTGTGCATGTTTCTCTCTCTCTCTCTCTCTCTCTCTCTCTCTCTCAGATCAATAAGATCAATTTCTCATTGTATCTCCTCAGTTTGTTTGTTTGACTCTGTGCACCTATTGGGTGTCACTTTTTGGAATAATCTCTCACTATCATCAAAAATGCCTTGATAATAAAATGTAGTTTGTTTGGTGTGTGTTTTTTAAAGTGGGAGTACACTGCTAATGATAAGTATTTTATATTTATTATTTTGGCTGCTCTAGGAAGAAATCCATTATAAGAGTGAATTAAACTGTGTCCTACTAGACACACCACTGTTCAGAAGGAAAGTACCTCCTGTCTTCATAGAGATGACACACTCAGCCATTTCCAACACAAGAGGACAGGTCATACTCATACCCCTCATAGCAAGAGAGTGTATTCCATTTATCTTATCATAAAGAACCCAAAATCACCATCTTCTTTCTGGAGGATGGATATTCTCAGTCACTGAGAAAAGCCAAGAGGTCATGGCTGGGACTTTCAACTTTGAGCCCTTGAAAGGAAATCTCAGCCGCAGGGCAGAAGCAATGGTGAGCTCCGAGTCCTGCTGTCATCCCACATTACCTGTGGAGACTATGCTCCTCCTGCCTCTGGAAGACATGACATGGTCTCCGACTATGAGTGGAGGTATTTGGACTACAGACTATTCCAATGTCAGAAGAAGGTCCATGTTGCTTAGAGAGAGTCCTGACTCTAGAGTCAGAGAGAACTGGGTTTGAATCCAGGTTCCAGGACTCCAAAGTGGTGATGTCTTTGGTATCATAATCATGTGTGCCCTGCTGTGGGCCCTGTCCCTGCTGATGAGCATCCTGGAAGGGAACTATTGTGGCTTCCTGGTGAGGCAAATGCATCATTTTTAGTGCTCAGTGTTGGATTTCATTACTGTGTCATGGCTGACTTTGTTATTTGTGCTTCTCACTGGGTCCAGCATGGCCCTGATGACCAGACTGCTGTGTGGCTCCAACCAGGTTCCCTTGACAAGACTCTATGCCACCATGGTGCTCAGGGTGCTGGTCTTCTTCCTCTGCGGCCTGCCCTATGGCACCATCTGGTTCCTCTTATTCTGGTTTCAAAAAGATTTAGATGCCTTCGTTCCACATTTCTTGGCGGCAGTTCTCCTGTCCTGTGTCAACAGCTGTGACAACCCCACCATTTACTTCTTCATTGGCTCTTCAGGCAGCGATGGTGGAAGCAGAGACACACCCTG